ACACAGAACTACAGTCTCAACAGAGTCTACCCACTGCGTTGCACTATGTTACCTTCCGTTCGGAGTTAGAAGACAGCCCCATCCCATCGGCTGTGCGATGCCGTTTGTATGATCTCTTTCAGCAAATTGAAAAGGAATTTGAAATGTTGTATACGGAAAATCTTGGGTGTAAGTATTTTTTATGAAAAATTCAGTCACTTGTACTATGTTAAATTAGTATGTACTAAAAGTTGCTATATATATACACATATATATATATATATATATATATATCTATATATATATATATATATATACATACACATATAAAATTAACAAAATTAAATGTAAAGACATGTAAAGATAAATATTTTAAACGATTAAGTGTTTGATAATGTCACACTAACAGATTGTACATATATTATTTCATTGAAAATTGATTACCTATATTATGCCACTGTATTTAGAGAGATAATTTATATAAAGCAATCTTAAAAATAAAAATAATAATCCAATGTAATGCAAGCAATTAAATTCATCATTATTTATTTATTTAATTATTTATTTCACTATTTAATATAGCTGTTATATTGAATCTTTCATTTCTTATTACAGTGCAAGAGAAGATCGACATCCTAAATGAAAAACTCGAAAGAGAGTGTTATGGATCAGGCGAGCGCAGTTTACCTCCAGGAGATCTTACGGATTATCCAGAAACAAAAAATCTATCTAAGCAAAAATGTAAGATTATTATAATATTAATGTCAATATTGATGTAAAAATACAATTTGTGTGTTACATTATTAAAAGAATGTTTCAAAAAAGTTCAAATTATCACTTAGAAGACTATTAGAGAAATATAACATTTTCAGATAATAGTATTCATTAAACTATACCAAAAATTATTTTCTTAAATTATTTTCATTTCTAACAATTTAATTTATGTATTTTTTATTTAGTTTCATAAGTGCCATACAACTTTAAATATTTAAACTTTTTTTTAAATATTTTATATAAATATCCTATTTATTATCTTCATTATATAATTTTATGACGTATTTTCCATTCATCTATCTATTCCAGGAGATTTAATAAGAATGATACAAAAGATAGAATACATAGCTAGTATATGGTAATGATTTTTAAAACTCAATAATTTTATTACGTTATATATTCAATTCTTGGATTGTAATAAGAATTCTTCTTTATTTTGTAGCAATGGGTGCAAACTCGGCGCAAAAAATTAAAACTTCTCACAAATTAAAAGCACAGACTAGTAAAATAGTATCAAGCTTTAAAACTCCATCTATGAATTGCACTATGCAAAAAGAGTATATGGGTCATCGAGATGGTGTGTGGGAAGTATCTGTCGGCAGATTAGGTCAACCCATCATAGCGACTGCTTCTGCTGATTATACAGCACGTATATGGGCAATAGATAATAGTCGATGTTTATTACAATATATTGGTCACAATGGATCCGTGAATTCGGTTCGGTTTCATCCAAATAGAGAATTGGCTTTATCGGCGAGTGGCGACTGTTCCGCTCACGTGTGGCAGGCAGCTGTCGATTGGGATATGTCAAAAAGAGTATCATCGTTAGAAGAACTTCCAATAGCGAGTTCTGAACGAACTATTGCTAATAATCTAATCAGTAATAACGACGAACAAGACGATCCCCCGACTCTGAGGACGCCGATACGTGAACTTTTGGGTCACACGAACGTTGTAATGGCTGCAGATTGGCTTTCTGGTGCTGAACAGTTAGTCACAGCTTCTTGGGACAGAACAGCAAACTTGTACGACACGGAAACCGGGGAGATTATACACACACTATGCGGACACGATCAAGAATTAACTCACGTGTCGACTCATCACACACAAAAATTATGTGTTACGTCCAGTAGAGACAATACATTTCGATTGTGGGATTTTAGAGAATCAATCCACTCAGTTTCGGTATTTCAAGGTCATACTGAGTATGTATATTGATAAGAACAAATTTTTTTTCTAATTAATATTCTGTTTATTCAGTTTATAACATTAAATGCGTAAAATTAATAAACATGTCTCTCTTATAGAACAGTAACGTCTGCAGTCTTTACGAGGGAAGATAAAATTGTATCTGGTTCAGATGATAGAAGTGTAAAAGTATGGGAATTGCGTAATATACGTAGTCCATTAGCGACAATACGTGGAGATAGTGCTGCTAATAGATTATCAGTTTCTAGTACTGGGATAGTGGCAATACCACACGACAATAGACAAATACGTTTATTTGATCTAAGTGGTCAACGTTTGGCAAGATTACCTAGAACTAGTAGACAGGTAAGAAAAGATATATTTTTATAATTGCATAGCAAAACTTTTGTAATTAGTTTTGTAATTAGTTGACTAAATTAATAATATAATGGTTTAACTGATATATATACATTATTTGTAATGATAGTTAAAAGGAGAGTTTGAGATCGTTAAAATAAAAAGTTACACATCAGTTATTATTTTAATATTCTCAGATTTAAAGATTTATATATAAAATGTAAGAGATTTAAATCTCTATTTTGCTGTTTCATATTGTATCATTATTGCAGTATATAAAATTGCGTAACACAAATTTTTTTATTCTTGAAATATATTATTTAAATTACAAATATATCTTATTAAAAAATGATATAATTATATTTGCAGGGACATCGTAGGATGGTGTGTTCTGTTGCTTGGTTGGAAGACAGCAATGTGTGTAATTTATTTTCTTGTGGTTTTGATAGACTAGTATTAGGTTGGAGTATTCTTCCCGTTAAAGATGCTTGAACATCAAAAACTGTGTGGTTTTATCGAATATTTTATGTCATGTTAGTGTGATATTGGAAATATTTAGGTGCAATTTAGATATGGAAGTACATATGTAACCATACAGTAAAAATCCAGCAATTAATCCAATCAATGATCCTCCCCTTCCACTCTTGCAGACAACTGCAATAAAAAAAAATCGAAATATATTGTATGTATTATTAAATAATTGATCAAAGATAAATTATAAATAGAATGTAAATTTTGAAGTTGCAATAAAAATTATGAATGTCTTACGTAAAATGTACATTTTTAAGTGCATTTTTACCTGAATATGCAGTTAAAAGACATAAAACGGTGTAACCTTGAATAAGAAGGTAATATGGACCCGAGGCTATGTGCTGCCACACTATTCCAAGTAATCCCAATAATTTACCACAACCTCCGACTATTAGAGCGCAACTTAAATCTTTTATGCTGTATTTATATGGTTTTTTGCCAATAATAAACCATTTTAGTTCAGTCACTACAATAACCATACAAATGAATGCTGCAAATGCTAGTGCTGTGTGTAACAGCAAATTGTAAATATTGCAATGATCTTGTAATCCATTATTGTGAACTAAATCCATTTTTGACGCAGTTAATTCTGTTTCGTTTATGTCACATAAAGACCAAGCCCTGAATGATTCAGCTAGCCATAATATTATACTTATCTTCCAATATGACTTAAAATTGCTATTGTACAAAAGATGTCTGTAAGCTGGTTTTTCTATCAGAATAAGATCTACAAAAACTATAACAGGATCATATTCAATATATTTGTCAGCCAACAATCCACATTTCTCCTAAAATAGTGTAAAATTGTCAGTGCAATATATATAAAAGCATGAGTTCATGTTTTACTTACACATTTTAAAATTTTAAGAACACTAGGGCAGTATCTCCTAAAAAGCTCTTTGCATTCAGCTCCACAATTTATGCAAATATACATTTATAGATAACCATATATATATATATATATTTGAAATAATCAATAATAAATATAATTATATATATATATAATGTACGTGAATTTATAAAAATAGTATTAACTCTTTAATTTCAGAAATAAAGGAGGACAGTCACTTATGTGTTGGAATGCTTATTTACTACACTTTTATTTGCTTGCTTATATCGAGATTCAGCAAATACTGACTTGGAGAGAGATTAACTCTCTCTCTAACGGTTTATATCTTCGTCAAGAAATTGTTCTCTATTTCTTTTAGCATTCATGATACTCCAAATTTAGCAGAAATATTACATCACTCACATTCAATATGTCTATTAATAATGATACATCTATAAAGAAAGATTTAATCTTGAGCTAATGGATTCAGTGATTACAAGAATAGGAAATTATTAGATGAACTATAAACTTTCATGTAAAGGTTTGTTCTTTTTATCTGAATTTTTTGCTCGGTTCACATTTTCTCTTTTTTTTCTACAATACAAAGAAAAAAGGAAAAAAGGAAACTGCGCAATAAGTTTAGCTACAATAATAGATCTATAAATAAATGACCTAGACTGTTAACATTATGAATTCAATTGAAAATTCAAATGAAAGTGGAGGCAAGTAGTAGATATAGGATGTTTGGGAAATAATGATAAATCTTTCGTATAGGGGTAGAATGGATTAAACTGAGAAGAAAAGTCTCTATCATTTTGCAATTTTCGCAATAATTAATAAGATATTAATTGCTAAAAATTATCGAAAATTGGTCTTCAATAATTTTTTACTCAAATACTACCAACTTTACAAAAAAAACTGCAAGAAACAAAAATTGTTTATTTTCTTCTCTTAAATTTCTGAGAATTTTTTTAGAATTTTTTAATACCGTATTTTCTCATGTTGGAGAAAATGCAGTACTAAAAAGTTGATAAAAAATTCGTAAGTTCTATGAGAAGAAAATAAACAATTTTCATCTCTTGCAGTTTTTTTGTAAAGTTGATAGTATTTGAGTAAAAAAATTATTGAAGACCAATTTTTGGCAATTTTTATCTTTATAATTGGATTATCAATTTCAGTTGAAAATTGCTATGTGATTAGATTCACATGTACTTTATTTTTGCAATGTTTAAAATTTGTAAGAATTTTCAATTGTAGAATCTTCCTTGTGTTACTCGACAGTAATACAAATATACAGTAAAAAAGTCCTCTATTATTTTGCAATGCTCACAATAATTAACAAGATATTAACGTTTAAAAATAGCTAAATATGCGCGTCCGCCCGATCTATTATTGTCGAAGACCCACCAAGCGCACGGCACGCCTGCTAGGCTATTCCCACTCCTCGCGGCCCGCGCGCCGGGCACCCAATGGGCCTTTGACAATGGTACCTTTGACAATAGTAGAGCGGGTGGACGCGCATATTCGACTATCTTTAAACGTTAATATCTCGTTAATTATTGCGAGCATTGCAAAATAGTAGAGGATTTTTTTATTTAGAGTCCGCTCTACCTGCTCGAAACGAATGGGGTCATATATTCTTGCCACCCTGTATGTATACTTTCTACAAAAGCCTATAGCTATATAATACGATGAAAGTTGTAGGGTACGGGAGTGGTGGAATACAGTAATATAGCGCATCTCGATTTTAAGGCATACAGTTTGGTTTTTACATTGTTATAAGATATATTGAATATGGTTCAACAAAATTCAAGTGTATCTCTGCCAACAGGGCAACAAATGCCCATTTTAGGATTTGGAACATGGCACGTAAGTTTATAAAGAAATTGTCTAACCCAGCAAACGAAAATGGATTAAAATGGATTGAAATTTTTTTCTATTCGAATGCGTATTTTAAAAATAGCGAATACTTTTTTTGGATTTAATTGGATTCAATTGAATTCAATTGGATGCAATTGGGTTGAAAAACTGCATTTCTTATTCAAAATTTTGAATTGAATAGTATTCACAATGCACAGAAAAAGCTAATATTATTTTTAGATTGAAAGGCATCAGAATCCATTTCAATTCATTTCAATCCATTCTCGTTTGCTGAACTCAAAATTGAAATGGATTCTGATTTTCAGAAATATTGATTCACGAATGTTAAAATGAATGCTTTTCAATCCTGAATGCATTTTTATTTATTTATAAAAATTGCATGGAGCACATCTGTATGTCTGTCAATCTAAAAATAAGCTTTTCTGTGAATACTGTTCAATCCAAAATTTTGAATAGGAAATGCAGTTTTTCAATCCAATTGCATCCAATTGAATCTAATTGAATCCAATTGAATCCAATTAAATCCAAAAAAAAGTATTCGCTATTTTTAAAATACGCATTCGAATAGAAAAAAATTTCAATCCATTTTAATCCATTCTCGTTTGCTGGGGGCATTAATTTCTAATATCATATTGTCTATCTCTTTGTGAGATAAAAAAGAATTTTCTTATTCGAGGATACCTTGTGTGTGTGTGTGTTTTGTTTGTTTATTTATAAAGATATGTTTATAATATATCCGCAGGCAAGCGGAGAAGAACTAGAAGCAGCTCTGGATGCAGCTCTGGAAATGGGATACAGGCATATCGATACGGCTGCAGTATATGAAAATGAACGTTTTATTGGTAACGTCTTAAAAAAATGGTTGGATTCGGGCAGGATTAAAAGATCCGATCTGTTTATTGTGACAAAGGTAACACTAGAATTATACTATTATATTTATTTTAGACATAATATAAATATAAATCTACATGCAGAAATAAATAGATAGAAAAGAAATCTCATATTATCTGCGTATTAGCATGTCACCGCATGATCTCCGAACTGCATATTAAATAGTATGTATATTTTAGCGAGATAATTCGAGCTATTTATATTTCCGTTCATTCACCTGTGTAAATAATGTAAATAGTAAATGACTAGAAATCCCACAATGTAATTCAGATGTAACTGATGATTATATTACTCAGTTATTATAATAATAAAATAAGTAGAAATAATAAAATTTGTTATAATAAAATAAACGGCGTAGTCAATAATAAAACTATATTAGAGTTGAACAAAAACGGTAATGCCGTTTATTTTATTATAACAAATTTTATTATGTTCAATTCTATAGGTACCTCCTAATGGAAACAGATCTGGTGATATAGAAAAGTGGCTGAAAAGATCGCTTCGTAATTTGCGTTTAGCCTACTTAGATTTATATCTTGTGCATACTCCATTTGCATATCAAGATGCTGGAGAAGAATTTCATCCTCTTAATGAAGAAGGAGAAATAATGATTGATACTGATACGGATCATCTACAAATTTGGTCGGCAATGGAGAATCAAGTGCTGGAAGGACGTACTAAAGCGATTGGATTAAGCAATTTTAATATAACCCAAATAAAAAAAATATTGAACAACGCTAAATTACCTGTTTCCAATGTACAAATAGAATTACATGTTCATTTCCAACAGAACAAACTGGTATCTATCTTATCTTATGAATTTTTGTTTGTATTAGGTGTACAAATAAGTTTTTGTCAATGCGATAATTTTTTATCAAAAATTAAGCATTTATTGAAAGAACGATACATAATGTTTTATTGATGTAAGTAAAAATGTAAGTGCAAGTTTTTCTTGCGTTTGGCACGAATCTTCATTCAATAATGCTTCCAATTCCGCGTCTTCGTACACTTTCGGCCGCTACGTTTTTTGTCTTCGACGTCAAATTCACCGTTCTTAAATTTTTGAAACCATTCATGACAACTTCTCTCACTTAAGGCAGCTTCACCATATGCTTCTACAAGCAATCGATGAGCCTCAGCTGCAGATTTCTTCAAATTAAAGAAGTAAATCAAAAGTTCCTGCAAATAACGCTTATTCCGCTCAAAACTCGGCATTTTCGCACAAAAAAAAATATATAATGCTGATACAAAATCGCTAGTATTTCAAGATTATATTGTTGACAGATGTTCAACCTTACGATATAATGTTTTACATCAGACAATTTTAACCATAGCTTGCTAGTGGCGTCGTCTTTTGTCAAACGGCGGAAACTTATTTGTACACCTAATACTTTATATGCTATTTCTTTCTCTTACGGGTAGATAGAACAGATTAAACTGAAGAGAAAAATCTTTTACCATTTTACGATTTTCATAATAATTAATCCATGTAACAAATCAAACTAATAAAGACTCCCAGCAAACGAGAATGGATTGAAATGAATTGAAATGGATTCAAATTTTCAGAAATATTGATTCACGAATGTTAAAATGCATTTCAATCCTGAATACATTTTTATTCATTTATAGGAATTACATGGAGCATATCTGTATGCCTTTCAATCTAAAAATAAGCTTTTTCTGTGAATATTGTTCCAAAATTTTGAATAGGAAAAGCAGTTTTTTAATCCAATTGTATCCAATTGAATCTAATTGAATCCAATTGAATCTAATTAAATCCAAAAAAGCATTCGCTATTTAAAATACGCATTCGGATAAATAAAAATTTCAATCCATTTTAATCCATTCTCGTTTGCTGGACTCCTTATAAACCAAAAGAAATTGGAAAAAAAAAGAGCGCTAGGAGTAAGGCGCAGAAGACGTCAAATAATACACCTGGCATTTAAATTCTCGATGTAGGAGTGCCCAGGATGACAGGATAACTTTTATTCACAGTTTATATATGTTAATTTATGTTGTCTCTGGAAGGCTCAAAAGTGAGCCGAAACATGTAAGCGCGTTTAGTAGAATGAAGAAGTTTTACGTTTTATAGATGTATTATTTGCGCGACGTCTTCTACGCCTGACTCCTAGTGCCCTTATTCTTTTCAATTTCTTATAATTAATTAAGTAATGAAAAATTTTTGACGTTACGATGCTAATTATTCGAACTGAACGCCATAATTTAACGTCTTTGATTTTTTTAAACTGTTGACTGAATATTAAAAAAACCTGTTTTCTGCTAAAAAGTATGGTTTTACGTATCATTACGACACTGATAATTTATATTTCGATAATTAATGATATAAATAATATATTATATTTCAATAAATAATGATATAAATAAAACTATAATAAATGATAATTGTATTTATATTTCGATAATTATAAAATTATCAGTGTCGTAATGCGTTCGTGGAATCACAATTTTTAACATCCGAAAAACAATTTGAAGAAATCATCGATATAAATGACAATCTGAATAATTAGTTTCGTGACTGTAATCTAAAATTTATTAATCTAAAAATGTATATTGATATTCTTTGTATCACAGATGAAGTTTTGTCAGGAGAACAACATCAGTGTAACGGCGTACGCTCCTTTGGGTTCACGTGGATTTGTTGAGAAAATAGGAAAGGGAGACGTTGTGCTGCACTCATTAAAAAACGTAACTGTATTAGAAATTGCGGAAAAATACGAAAAAACATCTGCACAAATATTACTTAAACACATAATTCAAAAAGGTATAGCGACTATACCAAAAAGTGTTGATCCTTTGAGAATTAAAGAAAATATTGAATTATTCGATTGGGAACTCGAAGCTGAAGATGTTAACAAGTTAAATGCTTTGGATATGGGCGAATCTGCACGCGTGTGTGATTTCAAGTCAGGTTTTTTTAAAAGTCTATCAAAGCATCCAGAATTTCCTTTTTAAGATTATCATATAGGCTATCCCGAAATTAGGTAATGAAAATACTATAGCAAAAGAGGTTTCAAAATATTAAGTAAAAAATTATTTGTAAATTTTTATTTTGGTCTGAACAGTAGTTTTTGAGATAATAAGAATTTAAATATGATCAATTACAGACTGCGTTTAGATGACCATCTGTTCTTGAATCATGCTTACGATAGTAGCTCAGCAAGCGCTGTCAAGTGCGTATTTCTTATTAATATTAAATCAGGTAATCATTTAAAGATCTACAATTGGCCATATTTAAATCTTTATATTTCAAAAACTACTGCTAAAAAAAATTTCCAAATAACTTTTTACGTAATTTATTAATTTTTCCAAAAAAACTTTCTTGCTATGATATTTTAATTCGTAAACTTCGGGATCCTGCATTATGCTAAGTTCACTCTTTTTTTCTTTCTCACTGTTATTACGTATATTATACAATTTAAAGATTGTCATTGCATGCAAAATTATCGTAATCAAATAAGGTATCTGTTAGAATTAATATTACGATTAATTATTAATTATACTTATTTTGTTTTTTATATAGCAATTATGTAGCAATTTAAAAATTGTTATTTCATATAAAACTTTATCGTTATCTAGTACGCAATCAATATTTATTGCATCAGCTGCTAAATTTATATAAATTTCTAATATCTTATCAAATGTATTGTTTAAGCATCCCGGGAAAAAATATTTTATATAAAATTATATATAAAACATTTTTTCCTGGGATATACTGGGCACCCATCATAGAACAAATCCGAATGTATTCCAATCAGAATTAATCCGTTTTTTCTAGAAAATTTTAATAGAAATATCTAAGGAATAATTGAATAATTCCGATCAGAAATCTATTCCGACTTATTATATCATAGATATGATCAAACAAAATTGTCAAACAAATAATTTTATAGACAATAAAAGTAATACAATTATATACAAGACGAATTACATCGATTTTTATAAAGGTTCTTTTACTGTTATAAAATTTTTTCTGCTAAAAAGCAAAAAATAATGATTATAGTGTTAATAATTTTAGATTTATATAAGTTGTCACATAAACTTTTTTATGCAATGTATAAACAACTGAATACAAAGATGACTTTTTGGAAAGTGCTTCCAGTTGGAAGAATTATCTCGTTTCGTACCATCACATAAAGATGACAAATATTTGTCGGGTTATACTTGAAAATGTAGAATGCTTTCACATTACCTTACCTACTTTCATCTCAATTATTTCAAACTGTTGACTTTATGATTTTTCTTCTTTACTTTGTTAGGTAAATTAAGACTCAAGACACATCTGATCTTACTGATCGCACAATTCGTCGAAATATATAAAAGTAAACATATTTTACATGCACACTTCGCACTGTTTCACAAACATAGAGAAATGTTTGAGAACAGTAAATAAACCTAGTATTCAGATAGAAATGTTGATTGTATTTATAATAATTTTATTATCTAATTTTAGATAATAAATAATATAATAATTTTAAATAATACAATAATTAAATAATACAAACATAAATTCTTTTTCTGGAAATGGATTAACGATATTAATGTTAAACAGCGTTAGGAACGTTACTTTATAAAAATAACACATTACTGTTACTATTATTTTTTTTATTATATGTCATTCGTTATTAATTTTTATAATACAATTATTCGTTACTAATTTTTAAAAGTAATGCGTTATCGTTACGATTACTTAGAAATAACAATTTGTTACTTTTTTGTAATGCTAAAATAAGACATTAGATTTAAAAATTATGTTATTTTATAATCCATATTAAATGTAACAATCAATAATAAATATTAAAACTAATTTCTATACAAAGTGTTCTGAAATTCACAAGTTGAAATACCACAAGAGAAAATTCTAAAAAAAATGAATAAATTTAAAAAATATTTGCCATTTTTCATTCCGATTAATTGTTTTTGAGATATAAAGATATTAATTACAGATTACAGTTAAACAACTATATGTCCGTGAATCGTCATCACTAACTACATCATTCGATAAAAAAAAAGACTTTTTCGAATATTGAAATAAGACAATTAGTTATTTCTCGTAGTTTTTTGGATCTTGATAATACGAATCTGGTTTTCGAACTGTTCCATTACCTCACAATTTTGAGAAAATTTGCAGTAAAAAAAAAATATTTTCAAACACTTAGTCATATTGTAACTACGACATATCAGGTGCCGAAGAAATTTTATTGCAATCAAAATGAAATACATTCTTAGGACTTTAAACACTCAAAAGGAATTTACAATATCGACTATGGTTAATAAGATATTCAAGGTTAAATGGAATTTATATGGTAGATTTAATATGATGGATTCTCAAAACTTGAAAAACTATTCAAATTATTGCGAAAATTTATATATATGAAAATCTTTCGTAATTTTGAATTTATCAATTTTGACATTGATTCCTACTTACTCTAAAAGTCATCTTAGCCATTGAATGATATTGAATCGTAACGTCAGAAGCAAGGAATGACACATTAATTTTTGTTACGTACATTTACGTATTTGTAAATAAAGACAATTTGGACAAAACAAAATAAGATTGCTTTAAAATATTTGTTATTAAAAATGGACAAAAACTATGCTTACCTCTCTTAACAGTTAGTAAATAATCGTATTTTATAGAAAAGTAACTTATGATTAAACTTATGGATTTTGTTTTGATTATATTATCAAATAGTTACTGTATATATACATACTTTTTTCCTAGTCCTGTGGGAGTGTCCAAGTATCAACCTATTATTTAACACTTTTTTTATATGTTCCACCGGCTGATGGAAAATTATCTTCCATAAATACAGCATACACATTCATATACTGATTTGACATCACAATTGCAGGTTAGGATCGCAGTGACAATGCGCACGCGCCAGCCGGATTTTTTAATTAAATTTATGAAAAATTTCTTTTTTTGTTTTTAATATGCCGATATATATTTTTTTTTGCACATTTCAACTTTCTCAACAAGATTATGACAGCATATATTATCGAATTCAGCACATTAGCGAATTAAATATCATCTCAAACATTATCTCAAATAACAAATAGAAATGATTTAAAAGATAATAAACAAACATTTCAATATACCTCTAATAAAACAAAATACCCATTTAAAATAAATCGTAAAAAAATTCGTTATATTATCCATTTAAGATAAATAGATAATATAACGGATATTTTTAATAATTTTCGGCTCGTTTGTAATATATATATATATATATATATATATATATATACTATAAAATGACTAAACATTCACATTGTTGTTATAATTATACATTGCTCAGATTCAAAATTAATACTACATTCACGCGCTCGTGCGCTGAAAACTTATTATTACAATGTCTGTGCGCTCATCAGCTTTGCATTGCAAATGTTACAGATAGAATTAAAATTAATAATACATTTAATGCCGTGCGTTTAAGTAACATCATAGGGACCGTGTATCGTCAGAGAGCGATTACACTTTCTCGTCCTGCTCCTACGCCGATCCATTTGACTGTAATCAAATATAAATTACTCTATATATGTATATCTAATTCTCACATTAACAAATCCATTGCATACATATGCAAAAAGTATTTACCTGGCACATCTAAGTATTCCTCTATAATTTGTATGTATTTATGTGCATTAGGTGGCAATTTATCCAAAGAACGTACACCTTCGGTAGTGGATTGCCAACCTTCGATTGTTTTATATACTGTTTCGACTTTTGCTAATTCCCAAGTACTACTCGGCAAATAATCTATGTCCTTCCCATTTAACCGATATCCAACGCATACTTTTATCTCTGGTAAGATATCCAAGATATCAAGCTTTGTTAAGCATATAGAGGTATATCTAGAATAACAGATCAAACATTCTATATATAGAACAATTTTTTTCAAATAAGGTAATCTTTTTGTTAATTACACAGAATTATAAATTTTTCGTAATTAAAATATAGACAATAACGCAAGGACTAAATGATTTCGTATAAAAAAAAATATTGAAAAATTAGTTTTGTTATCGGGTTCTAGCGTCAATTCGTAACAATATTTGCAGTTTTTTAATATGAATAATAATATAATATAAATAATATTTGCAGTCCAATATGATGGTGATTACTCAGGAGCCTTAAATGGCATTAATCGGTATAAGAAGTGATTTCGTCGAAGTTCGACCATCACGCCCAGTACCCTTAAAAAAATATTTTTGAATAAGAAATCACTTTACACACACCCATTAACTCGAGTTGTAAATTTTAGCAACGGTAAATCGAGCCATCCACATCGTCTCTTTCGTTTGGTGGTCACGCCGATCTCATGGCCTCTTTTTTGCAACAATTCTCCTGTAGAATCAAAAAGTTCTGTGGGGAAAGGCCCATCGCCGACTCTAGTAGTATAGGCTTTCACAACGCCGATTATCTCGCCGATTGTGCTACATGGTAAACCGAGACCTGTCAGTACTCCGCCTATACTACAATTCGAACTTGTCACATATGGATAAGTTCCAAAATCAATATCCAACATCGTTGCATTGGCGCCTTCCACCAAAACTTTCTTGCCATCCTTTAAAGCCTGATGCAAATATTGTACCGTTTCTCTTACGTACGGTCTTATACGTTCAGAGTATCTGTGAAAAAATCAATCATATATTACAAAGAATACATTTAACCGGATCTACAATTAAATTGAAAGATAGTCATTATACTTACATCTTGTAACGCTCCAATTCAGCTTTAACATCGACATGCAGGGCAGGAAACATTTTCTGATACGATGTAACCAAGGTTTTAAACTTTTGGGAGAATTTGTCAAAGTCTCCGAGAAGATCTCCAATCCTGAGTCCAGCTCTAGCGGCTTTATCCGAATACACTGGTCCTATACCTTTCTTCGTAGTCCCCAAAGACTGTGTGCCCTTTTCTAATTCTTCCAATCCATCGACCTGTTGATGAAAATCAAACACTATATGTGCTCGATCCGATATTATAAGCCTGTCCTGCCAATCCTTAAGTCCCTTAGATTCATTCTTCTCCAATTCTTCGAACAGACCAGGTAAATGAATCACTACCCCATTCCCTGCAAACACAAGAAAGCACAAATGAATAATATCGATTATATAATTTGTGATATATAACAGAAAGTTATTCAGATAACAATACATATCAAGATATAGAGCAACCTATATGAACAAGTGGAATAATTGTCTGTTTTATATGTATCCATGATATTAGCATTTCATTTACCTTCATAAAGTATTATTCTATATTCTTCCATTTTACGTTAATTATTAAAGTCATCAGAGACATGTTACTTTTTCGCAAACCAGAATATCTATAATTCAATTAATTTACTGGTTGATTTGAAGAAGTCATTACCTATTATGGATTTGCATCTGGGATTGATTATTCCACTAGGCAGAAGGTGAAAGTCGAATTCGGCACCTTCTACAACTACAGTATGCCCTGCATTATTTCCTCCCTGTGAAATTATATTAATACTTGAAGAAACAGGGCTCGCCATTATTTATGACAGGAAATACAGTGCGTTGTGATTTGATCATAGAATTGTAAATGAAGAATAGACGCAGAATTCCTCGCCAACATAAACAGTGGTATTGAAATTCAGATACAAGTTTACCATATTGGGAATAAAAAAAATAAGAAAACGGCAAAAAAGAAAAGAGTGTGAAGTAATACTTCATTACATTGAATGTATTATATAATACAATTTAAATATAATTTCATTGAGTTCTATTTAAAAAACAGCACATTAATTCCAATCGTACATAATCGTATTTCTAATCATCATATACATGTATTTAACATTATTAACTCTCTTATACGGATACGAATACAGATATGCATAATATATTGACATTACATAATTTTGAGTTTCTTATATTAGCATAAATCGATTAATTATTCAGAACATTGATTCCATCATTAATTATGTAAATTGTCCTTGAAAAAGATAAAATGAAAGCTCTGTTTTTACGATACGCGAAAGATAAAAAAATAATTCATCATTTTTTGAGTCATAAAGATAGACTGGGAACGATAACTCGTGACTTAATTCTTTCTCTTTCATAAATATATTTCTTTTATGGCCATCAATTATGTAATATCAGACGTGAGGTTGTTATACATTCGCGACACTCGCGCGCACAGGTCAGGTGACACGCGGTTGTGGCTAAAAATAAAACTAAGACGAATAAAACGTATGACGCTTTCGCATTTTCCGAGTGCTCGCTTGTCATCTGCGGGAAGAGCAAAACGGATGCCAAACGTTGCTTTCGATGAAATATTTTTAGTCTTTCCCGGAAATACCGCGTGATCTAACCTAATATTTTCTCCGGACACTCTTCACGTGCCGTCCTTCGATCAATCAGCGCGAAAGAGCTGGGAAATGTCGAGTTCTTTCTCCGAAAGGGAGATATCCGATTATCATTCGCGTCCCGCAGGTGAGAAATATCATTTTGTGAATCTCTTGGCTCTCAAGGAACACCACGGGGTCGGAGATGACGAGAGCGAAAGAAACGCGAAGGAAAATCATACCTGACATCTGCAGACGACGTCAGCCTCCATCGCCAGCATGTCCACGACCTTTCCCTTGCCCTCGTCGCCCCATTGCGCGCCGAGGACTACCGTGACCTTCGACACGGTGGATATCCGTTGTTTCTTCCTCGGTGAAACCGGTACGCCGTCGCCGTTCGCCTGCATCTTTCCTTGAATGCACGCGGGAGCACAGATAAGTTGTTGGGTTGCGCGTCCGCCACACTAACTGACTAACGTCTAACGTCGGGTCGCGTCGCTTGCTTGACAGTGAACGGGATTATTTCCTCCTCTCACCAATAAACAGCTGACACAGCGGAAATCCGTAGCGGAACAATCGTGGACGAAATGTCTGAAAGAGCCGCCTCCACCGCACTCCGCCGTCACTCGATCATTTGATCGTATTTCGTAGCAATTGGCATTCCCCCTCCACTGTCCGCCCCGCCCCTTCTGCTGTTCTTCCCTCCAGATTAACTTACCTAACTTAATCCTATCTCCTGAGGTCTGTTCTTTTTAGCTAAAGTTTCGCGCATGGTTTATCTTTCTTTTTTTTCTTCCTTTGGAGAAAGAAAGAGAAAAAATGAATTGTGCAAAAAGTTTAGTTAAAAAGAACAGGCCTGGAATTCCTTTCACTATGAGCTTATCCTATCTAGACTGTATTTCAAAATTCACTGCCAGTGCTGAAAATGTATAGTATACGTGACGTAAACTGTAGATTTTCAGCGCTGGCAATGAATTTTGAAATACAGCCAGACAGCCTTTAGGATTCTACGTTTCTTTTTTTCATGTAGGTCGTAAATTGTTAACTTATATACTGTAACCGTCCAGCAAACGAGAATGGATTAAAATGGATTGAAATTTTTTTTTATCTGAATACATATTGTAAATAGTGAATACTTTTTTTGAATTTAATTGGATTTAGTTGGATTCAATTAGATTCAATTGGATGCAATTACTTGGATTAAAAAACTGTATTTCTTATTCAAAATTTTGAATTGAACAGTATTCACAATGTGTTGTGCACAAAAAAAGCTAATATTATTATTTTTAGATTGAAAGTCATAGAGATATGCTCCATGCAATTCCTATAAATGAATAAAAATGCATTCAGGATTGATTTTAGCATTCATTTTAACATTCGTGAATCAATATTTCTGAAAATCTGAATCCATTTCAATTCATTTCAATCCATTCTCATTTGCTGGGCGGTAAATTTAATACGATGTTTACACACAGATTTACGTACTATTACTTGCTATACTTTTATTTCGGTTATTAAATGTATGAAATCGATAATATCAATATTTTTTAAGTATTATTTATAATTTGCTTTACATATATATGAACAGTAATACTAATAAATTATATGTATACCGGCATTATGAAAATTGCAGTTAAATATATACTATTATAAATAATATTCTACCTCTGATATACTTTGTTATTTAAAATTGTTAGAAAATATCTGTATTATAAAAATATAAGTATATAATACTACACACAGCATATATAATACGAAATACTATAACTACGTTTGATTTCACTGATGAAACAAACAGTTTATTTGCGTGACGATTAGAATTTGAAGGATATAATCTACTATGCATATACGCTTGATAATTGCGTCTTTATCTGTCCTTTCATTATTTTTAAACAAATAGCATAACAAAATGTATTTCTTTATCGTTATCATTATTCGTGCGGAACGTTGACGTATCGTTAATGTACAAAAACAGAATAATTTCCCCGATTTATGCGCGCTTACGCAAAGAATAAGCTTAATACAATTTTAGGTGCAAATTCAAGTCAAGGAAAAATAAATTATAGTATAGGAAAAAAGAATGCAGTTATGACAAAAACGGATCGTCAGCAACAGATTGGCGGTCTGTCATTTTGCAACCATTTAAATAAGATATTCAATTGCGACAGACTTTTCTCAATTCTTCTAATCTGCTATCGTATTTCAGCATGCAAAAGATGTTGCATTCTGCTACATCTTTTTTAAATTTATTTAGCAATAAAATTTATTTTGATACTTTGCAACATCTGTTTTCGACAAACTTGGTTATCTGGAATTAATTAAAGCGAACTAAGCATATTAACTTACTAACGTTTGGCTCATTGAATTAATTCCAGATAGTTAAGTTTATCAAAAATGCTAATTTTATCAATAGAAAGCTATAAGTAAGATATGTGGCGAAGTTCACTTGTGATTACGTAATGTATATTCCATTTTCTGCATGTAGAAAGTTTTTTGAAAGTTTTTGTAAAAACTGATAGATGAACTCATTTCTTTTTTTACTTTTTTGAGCCTCCTTCATCAATATCGATTACTTTCACTATTAATTATAATCATTAGGCTTTTACTCTCATTCTACTACTAAGAAGTCTATGGTGTCAGATCTCTTTCACAGGAAGAAGATGTAATGAATATAAATCAACTAAGTAAGAGAAGCGCTATTTACGATCAAAGCCAGATAGTGAAATAATACATCTATGTATTTAAATAAATTTTTCTCAGATATGTGACTGCGCGCCGGTTACTTTTCAGATTTGCGACACAGTTAAACTGAAATAATACTAATCTTTCCAAATTAAATCAAATCGTCTATTCGATGTTAATTTTGAAATCTATAAACAACTTATTGCAAAAAATATTACCAAACCAGGATTCGACAAGAAAACAAGAAAAAAGAAGAGGCTGTAATGTAAATCTATTAAACAAAGTATGATGATAAAGAATATAACGATAAATTAGCATTGTCCAGTTTTAATAGATTTGGCTCTTCTTGGGAAGGTTCCCAGAACGAAGATACGAAGTAAAAAAAAAAAAGAGGACGACAGGTTTCAAAATTGCAAATTTCTGAGCAAGCAGTAATACAGGCAACGGTTTCTCGATCCACTCATGTATCATCTGACATAAGAGCACAGATAGACAGGAAGAGAGAGAGAGAGAGAGAGAGAGAGAGAGAGAGAGAGAGAAAGATATCACGTGTATAGTGTAACAATATACCCGGACCATGTTTCCCGCACGTTGTTCAATATTTACATCAATGAGACGGATATATTACCGGATTAAGATGACCCCTGTGGCTTTTTAATTATACAGGCCTCAGTGCGTCAGGACATCTGCCCTATAGAAATCGGGACTCTCGATCCCCCGATCCGTTCCCTACTCTACATCAGCGATCCATTTCCCTTGCTACAGAGTATCAATTACATTGTTATTACCCGGTAAGTATCCCGAAGATGTGGTCAGATCGCAGATAATACACTGGTATAAGAGCATGCCGCAACAATGGGACAGGTACACAGAAGCGTGGTACACCCCGTCGTGCGAGCAGCGCGATAACGATCGTGCGGTGCAACTATGCGTCTAATTTGGATCTGCCCGCAAAAGAGGATGCGTCTCGCAAAAAAAAAAAGAAAGAAGAAGAGGGGTACGTGCCCCACGGGGTTCGGGCGTGTGCATTCAGCCGCTCGCACGTACCCCAAAACGCACGTATATATGTATGTATATATAGCGAAGGGTTCGTCCTTTAGAGGATTTAGTGAGACTCTCGGGATGACGAGCGAAGCACGAGGCTCGCGGACAAGAAACACGGACTTCAGCATAGCCCGTATACTCGCGGAGGAACTTCCGGGTGCCGACGTCGACGCGCGAAAACAGCGCGAGTCTCCGGAGTGCGATTCCCGGGGAGGAACGGAAGCTGAGGAACGGACGTTGGAACGTGCGGGCGAGCCGGAAAAGCGTGACACGTCGTACGTTCCCATCGTCGCGGAACGACAGCGAAGCGGCGACCACGTCGGCAAGAGCACTACACGGTGGACCGATCTCACGTGGCTTCAGTACACTCGGTACAGACCTCCGAGATTACCTAGGAGGTCTCTCACTGAAAGACGGGTCAAGCGACAAGCAGGCGATCATCCTCGTATCCCGTTCTCCTCGTCCCAGTTGCAGATATTAGAGGAGAAATACAAAAAGGGTGCTTACTTATCCAGGACCGACGTCGTCGAGATGTCCACAACATTAAGATTGCCGCAGAACAAAGTACGTCGGTTGCGAGGATTTTTCTTTTGATTATCGTTGAGTCGATCCACAATTTTTTATAGTGAAGACTTTTAAATGTAACTTCTTAAGAAAGAACTTATCTAAATAAAGAAAACAAGACGTAATTGTAAAGAGAATTAAAGTATCTTTAAAACAATATTATATTAGATCTATTTTTTCATAACTAAACTGATATAGAACTCTTTGTATTTAAAATAAAATAGAATAAATTATATACTTGATATTTAGCGAAAAAGAAAATTTTAGTGCAGTTAGTACAACAATAAAAAACAAATCTACCTTTAACATTGGCTGCGTTTAGCAGAAGTCCATCCAAGCAGAACAACAAGTTACAATAATGTCAAAATGATATTGAAATGAATCGAAAATGATTAAAAAGTGACTTTTAGTGATCATTTTGGAGTCATTTTGATCATGACTTGTTCTGCTTGAACAACGCTCTTTAATAAACGCTCTGTGCCGATTGGATTATATTTTTAGATCTAGAAAATAGCTCAGCAAAGAAAATTTCTAACAATTGCAAAGTAAACATTCTTCTGAATGAGCGTCATCGTGTTTTGTTTGCGGAAATCACAACTCTTGCCGCGCAGCGCAAATTAGCGCAGTAGCCAATCGCTTTTCCATAAAAGCGAAAGAATGGACGAGTTCAAGACGGCAAAGCAGATAGGCATGCTTATCGAGCGATTGAATGTGATTGGTTGGATCTATAAATAACAACCAATTATGTTCATTCTTTCACTTTTATGGAAAAGAGATAAATTGAATGACTGTCGCGTCAATTTCAAGCGTTGCCGCGTTCTGTGTGCATCATAATAATATGGGCCGATTTGATCAAGGAATTACCTAATCGGCGTTTAACTGACCAATCGCTGTTTAATAGAATTGACTGTACTTCCGTCCTTATCTTGTTCTGTCGCTAATAAATAAAGAAGTTGCGCGATATTGATGAAGATTATCGAAATTCGAACTTATTGTTGTGTTTGCAGATCAAGATCTGGTTTCAAAATCGTCGAGCAAGACAGAAACGGGAATCGCTAAATTCTACGATAGTGCGATGATTCGACAACAATGGAAACCAATAAGGTTCTTCTGGAATCTTCGACACCGAATCCTTCTCGAATTTAAATCGCAATTATTTCGAGCAACTCGACTTTCGACTATTTATTTCGTGCCTTTCGATCACTGTACTGTAAATAAACTTATTTATATATACAATTTTAGCGCCAAATTATTACGATTATTTCTAATCACACGAGAAATTAAGTCTACGCAATGATATCTAAATGCGCGATTATTGAAAATCATATGCTAGTGCTTAACAGAAAAAATTCTTACAACGTTTGGTAGAGGAAGTCTTCAACCGTATAAAAATACCATTATAAATCATTTGAAACACGTCAGTAAATAATCTCGCGATGATAAGAAAATTCCAAAGAAAAACATTATAAAGGAATTTTTTCGCAATGTATGATATGAAGAATAGGAGTAATGCACATTATTATTTCCGTCTCCGTATCTCCGTATCTCCGTATTTTTCCGTCTCGTGAAATAAGTATCCATGCAATAATAGACATCGTGGACGTTCAAACGACACGTTCATCATACAAGGACGTATGTCTTCATAAAGATATCTATTCGATGTAGTCTTTTGTAAATGTACCGCCTACCCAGCAAACGAGGATAAATTGAAATAAATTGAAATGGATTCAGATTTTCAAAAATATTGATTCACGAATGTTAAAATGAATGCTTTTCAATCCTGAATGGAAATTTTTATTCATTTATAGGAATTGTTGGAGCATATCTCTATGCCTTTCAATCTAAAAATAATATTAGCTTTTTTTGTGCATTGTGAATGCTGTTCAATTCAAAATTTTGAATAGAAAATGCAGTTTTTCAATCTAATTGAATCCAATTAAATCCAAAAACAAGTATTCGCTATTTAAAATACGCGGATAGAAAAAAATTTCAATCCATTTTAATCCATTCTCGTTTACTGAGTAAAGACGTCTAACAAACGTATCGTTAGTACGTCCAATCCCATGTGGCATTAATTCTGAAAAAATTCTTTTCTGAATATAAATTTTTGGGAAAAAGAGAACATTGAATAGTCGTCATCAGCAAGGTCTAAAAACTATCACAAAATTTATTAATTTTCATCTCGGTCGGAGCCCATAATTGTAGAAACTCACATTCAAGGTATCATCTCGTCAGATATTTATTAAAAAAGTAAACATTTTTCACTGAAAAATCTCATCATACTGCACCTTTTAGCTTATTCGATATGGTTTTTTAAATATGAGTAATTGAATTTTACTGTGTCCTTCTAGCGATGTCGTGCACTGCTTAAAAATTGAACAAATCGACTCGTGTCGAGACTCATATTAGAGGCTCATATCTTCAATCTAATGCCTAAACCAATGGCGATGCATATAAAATAAATTATTATGCAGTTAAAAGTATAAACAAATTTTATTTCTTTTTCTTTACGTACCAGAATACGTATACCGATTATATATCTTGAAACGTATGAAAGTTACAGAACTGAATAAATTTACTAGATAAATCTATTACTAATACTAATGAAATTACAAATATTTCAATGAACTTGTTCGCTTTTGTAATTTGAATTTCATTTCAAGACGTCATACAATCTAATCTTTAAATTATCAAAATAATTTTGTAAAAAAAGTGTTAAATTAAATAATTCTTCTCTCATAAATTATTTCGATACATAATGTAAAAAATTTATTTATTTACGTCTTTAAAATATTTAATTTTGATCATATTGTTGAAATTTAAAAGTAACGCGCATATGAGTATGCAATATAAGGCGAGAATTCCTGAAAATAACGGACCAATCAACGACTTTCTCATGTAGCGACTCTAGTTAGAGTCTGTTTTCATTGCTTGAAATTCCCAAAAATTTTTGAACTTAAAATGAGATAGATACATATTTGGGCGTTGAAAAGAGAGAAAGCGAAGATGCTGAGTGCAAAAAGTACAAATAACACGAACAGAGGATCGATTCTATATTTTGAAATGAAGTGAAAATTATTGTATCCGCGGTTTTTTGTCACTAAATGTGTGTTGATGGTCATATATCTAGTGACAAAGTACCGCGGATACTTTTTAGATGACCCAATAATTAGTAGGAACATTCCGCGAAAAAATGCGTTTTCGTTTTGGGCCAAATCCAATGAAATGCAAGACAACAAAAAAGTATGTATACAAATGCTTAAAGGCCATACCTTTTTATGACTTCTCATGTCTTCTCTTCTTTTTTGTGCTCCGCATGCAACTTCGAATGCTAGACATTTATGTCTCCGTATGTACATACCAAACCATTTTACAAATATTTTTGGAAAATAGATAGGACATTTTCTTCTATTCGGTCCTACATTAGATAATGAATGATCACGTGATCAGCACGTTGATCAAACGTGCCAATACGAAAGTGTCCCTACTGGTTATATGTAATGTTGCATAAAAAGCTTGTGGAAGCTATGGGTTATACTCCTGGATTACCAGATATAGCGGCACAGTCAACCTCTCAGGATAAGCCAACAATGGATCAAACATGGGTAAAGAGTTATACATATTTATGTCTATACTTGTATACACCATGGTCAGTATATACAAGTCAGTATATACAGGCTGTTGTCAGTCTCGCTACAAATGCTTTGAAGTGTTTGATGGATCAATTAAAAGAAAGAATTTTACAAACTGACTAATTAAAAAACATTTCAAAGCGTTTGCAACATCGCGTTGACCATATCCACAGTAACCCAATTCTCTGTCGGCACCTTTGATGTTAGTGTTGGCCAAAATGGAGTACGCATGCGTGAAATAAGTAAGGGGCTCCGCGCAATAAAAGGAACAGGGAACAGAGAATAAAAATTTCAACCTATCAGAAACTGCGTATTCTACAATACATGATTTCTGACAGGTTGAAATTCTTATTCTCTATTCCCTGTTTCTTTTATTGTGCGGAGCCCCTAAGTTATCTTGCGTTGCCATGGTTATCACCTAAACTTCTTTCTCTTCATCCTTTTGTCACTGTCAAAATTCCTCGCAAAACTCACTAGATTTCGCATTGCAATCAACACGAATTCGAAGTGAGTAAGTGCTATTGCAGGAACTTATTGGGGCATATTAGAACATGCGACGCAAATAAACTTAATATTGCAATGAAACAATTTAGACACTTTATGAAAATTAATAAAAATAAATTGTAAATATAATGAAAAATAAAGAAAAAATATAGAAAAACTAGGAAAAATATTAAATTAACTTAAAAATGTATATTTGTATAAAGAAATATTATGTAATTATATATCTATGAAAATATTATGAGAAAGCTGATTTAAAAGAAATTTATATACATATATGTTAAAAAAATAAGTTTAAAATACAATAAATAAAAAGAAATCTTTCTTGCTCGGTTTTCTATGTTACTTTTTCACTTTATCATTTTTTCACAAAAATTAGACCAATCTTTCGAGGTTTCTCACACAATATTTCACCAAATGGACAATATACGTGATATTTCCCTCTAAATTTCTACTCTGAACTATGTATGCTTGAAAGACAAATATTTAAGTGAAACGCTCATTTAAATAGAGAGAGAGAGAGAGAGAGAGAGAGAGAGAAAGCAATAAAAAAAGGAGGAAATGGGATGAGGCAACTTACTTATTTCACGCATGCGCATTCCATTTTGGCCAACATAAAATCAAGAGAGTTGCGCTACTGTATATACTATGCCATGGTTTATAGTTTATACATTCCGCGTGTACATACGTGTATGCGTGCTTCGTATTTGATTTATATATAGTACGCGGTGAAGATTCCGTTTCTTCACGAGCGGTATAATTCTGTCCAATTCTGTCTGTCACTGATAGCTGTACGTGGAGTTATTGTTTCAATATAACGGATAAGGCTAACGATGCCGCTGCAAGTTCACGACGTTCAGGTAAATTCCATCGAGATTGGGCGTGAGATTCTCCTCGAGATCGCACGCGACTCGAGAGAGAATAACTGTTTTGGGGGTTATCCAGAGCAAATCTTCGCTCGCACATTTCCTTGTTGTTTCTTCATTCCTCTCGATTGAAATATTCCTGCAAGCCGAATGGTTTGTCTTTTATTTTATTATTTGCAGCAAAATGTCGTGGAGCCAATGCAGGTTGATGCTCCTACAGAGGATAATGATAATGCTGAAGAGGAACCATATATAGTAGAAAACCCGACGCTAGTACGTATAAAAATCGGTTTAATATAAAAACAATTCTATATTTGTTAATCCCAGAAATTCAATTTCATTCTATGATCATTGTTTCTTTACCTTTTCATCAGGACTTGGAGGTATATGCCAATAGCTATACTGGACTCGCAAAACTACACAGGCTTGTATATATCGCTGATCATTGTCCATCGTTACGAATAGAAGCATTAAAGATGGCAATTACTTATGTGATGACTACATATAACGTTGGACTTTATGTAATGTTGCATAAAAAGCTTGTGGAAGCTATGGGTTATACTCCTGGATTACCAGATATAGCGGCACAGTCAACCTCTCAGGATATGCCAACAATGGATCAAACATGGGTAGAGACTCGATCTAAAAAGGCTGCTCTTAAGTTAGAAAAATTCGATACTGATCTGAAAAATTACAAGAGCAACTCTATCAAGGAAAGCATACGAAGAGGTCACGATGATTTGGGAGATCACTACTTGAATTGCGGCGATCTCGTTCATGCTTTAAAATGTTACTCTAGAGCACGGGATTACTGTACTAGTGGCAAGCATGTTGTGAACATGTGTTTGAATGTAATCAAAGTTTCTGTTTATTTACAAAATTGGTCTCATGTACTTAGTTATGTCACCAAGGCTGAAAGTACACCAGACTTTCCAGAACTACATGGTAAAGACAACAATCAAGCAATAGTTACAAAGTTAAAAGTGGCAGCGGGCTTGGCAGAATTGGCAACAAGAAAGTATAAAATGGCTGCAAAACATTTTTTACAAGCGTCTTTAGACCATTGCGACTGTCCTGAATTGCTGTCCCCTGGAAATGTAGCTCTTTATGGAGGACTTTGTGCTTTAGCAACTTTTGACAGACACGAATTGCAAAAACAAGTTATATTTAGTAGTTCCTTCAAATTATTTCTAGAATTAGAACCACAACTCCGAGATATAATTTTCAAATTTTATGA